CACTAAAAGATGGAGCAAAAGGAGGCAGTGGGCATAATAATTGTGTCCAAATCCATGTTTATAAGAACTACTCAAAACTCAATTTTAGTCTACGCTGTGTGGTCCTAGAAGAAAAATCAATAAGAGGAACAAGTGCCAAAAGAGGTCTAAACCCTATTGGAACAAGAACAAGATGTGATTCTTACTGTTCTTCCTACAAATCACAAAGCCCTTAAATACCTTCATAGCCAAAACAAACTTAAAAGTAGGTATGCCAAGTGGGTCAAATTCCTTTGATCCTTCCGATAGCATAAAACACAAGTAGAGTGTCCAAATCAGAATTGTTGTTAACATTAGCCAAAGAAATCATCTCAGCATCATCTAGTCGAAGTTGGTTGGGCTTGAGATGATCAAAAGAGCATTATCACGACAAATAGATTTATTTAAGAAATCACAACAATACAATGGATTCATTCAACATTTGCAACTTCAAGGTTGGTGCATAGCTTACACCAATGTCAATATTACTTTCCAGAACACAAATGTACTGAAAAAAATGCCCACAAGATTGACTTGTTTGGCAATTGTAACATATTTGAAATCCTCTACATCGCAGATCTTTCAACCAACTATGAACAAGAAATCATTCAAGACTTCAATGTTTTTCTACCAAAAAGAATGATAGTTTAAAAAGGGTTGCAGTGTACTTTTCTTTCTACAAAAGATTTTTTTATAGAATACAACAACAACAACAACAAAGCCTTAATCCCACTACGTGGGGTCAGCTACATGAATCCTTTTTCTCCATTGCGTCCTATTTAGTGTCATATTTTCATTTAGTTCTAGTAAATTAAGATCATTTTTAATACAATAAGCCCAAGTCTTCCTAGGTCTACCTCTGCCTTTCTTAACACAAGACGAATCTAAAACATCTACTCTCCTAATCGGATCATCAGATGGTCGACATTTAATGTGACCAAACCATCTAAGACGACTTTCTCTAATTTTGTCTATCACAGGAGCTACACCAACCCTATCACGAATATATTCATTCCGCATTTTGTCTCTAAGTGTAAAGCCACTCATCCACCTAATCATTCTCATCTCGGCAACACTTAACTTATTA